AAAGCTCAATAACTTAAATTTCGTATCTCGTGGCGTCGTACACTTATTGGCTACTGCTCTGCTACTCGTAATTTCCCTCTAACGTGTCTGATGTACAGCTTGAAGAGAAAGGAATACTGAAGTTTTGAAAGGCGACGATTTCTGCTCAGATCACTCTGATGCCAATTGATTTGAGTGAATCTAAAGCAAGACTCTTTTTTATATTTGTGCCAGTGTATGTAATGCAAATGAAGGCACCATTTAATGTCAGTTTTTTCTCCCTGCATTCCGACAAAATACTGACCTCGAGGTTCAGGTTTGGACAGATGCTCGGTCATGGGTTAGGAATTTAGAGACATTAGGAATCTGTTCCAATCCCATGAGGCAACCATGATATTGAAACTGGCGAACGGATTCCTAGATCAGCACTTTACATAATCTATGAAATACTTTAAGCTGCCATAAAACATTGAAAACTACCACTACTGACTCATGGCTGGTTTGTCAATTAATTAAAAGGTTGGATCCACCGGCGACCTGGACCTATATTTTATGATGCTCAATAACCAGGTCACAATGTTGAAATCTAAGGTCAACCACCTGATTAGTGGAGGTTTAACCAATACCAGAGCGGTACTTGACGCTCCTCCTCCCTGACTGGTTAATTTTTCACTGGATTGTTTTTTCTTTGATTCAGGAGATGGTGGGTAGCATCTTGAAGAGGTGGTTTTCAGTTCACCTGGAGCTCCGCCGATTGGAATTTTGAGCAGCTAAATTTTCCTGCTCCAAATTTGTATGGATTTAATACCAACGCTTAAATATATTTTATTACGACTTTATTATTAGCTTAATTAGCTGGATAGCAAGATGAAAAGGGGCATTTTCCATTGTTCTTTGTACTGCGCTGTCCGGTTGTCAAACAAGCTTGTAGGCAGAAGTGCGGAGGGTGATGTGTTAAGGAGAGACTCTCCATCAAAAGTGCAGATGTTGTGCAATACCTTCACGAAATGCTCTTGGCAGTTAGCGTCACTGCAAGACGAGGCATTCAAATTACGAATTTGAAGAACTGTAGAACACAGATTTTATTTTTTTAGCAAATGTGACTTTTTAATGAACAGGACTGTGGTATTTTGACATGAGATTGAATCTTTTGTGTAGTATAATCGTGTTTTCCAGCAAAGTACCACAAATATTACAATGCTTTAGATGAGATTTTTTGTTCAGGCATTCGGCCATGATGAGGACACCGAGCGAGGTGATAACTTATAAAATGCAATATTAAAAGTCTACTTTTCTGATTACCATTCCGAGATGAACAACATCTCAATTAGCGCCGAGTAATTACGGAACTCCTTTATCAACTGGAATCATAAATACCTGGTTCCTTGAAGGAGTTTGGTCATTTAGGCTTTACACAAAACTACCCATTGAAGATACGAAGGGGAATACCATTTCCCATCACAGTTCAATCGTCTGGATTGTGCTTAGGGAAGGGACCACTGGAGGCAAAAAAGAAGCAGTGTTGCTACAACGTAGGGAGGGTCTAAGATTTCGCTGCAATCTCCTTCGGTGAATCATCACCGCACAAACCGAGTGGGGCTAAGTGGCATAGAACTGGCAGGCAGCATTGGGGTTGCATGGAAAGGTCATGACGGGTCAAAGTAAGTTCACAAGCTGTTTACATTTAATTAAATTCCAAGCTGGTGGCTTACAGCTCTTCCAGATGGAAGAAGAAATCTGAAAAAAATCGATTTTATTAGTCTAGATGTCGAAGGTAATTCAGCTACTACTGGGTTCTTGTGTTCCGTAAAGAGAGCTCAAAGTATCAGATTCCAGCATGGTTGAAGCACTTTGAAATGACAGATAAACGGTTCCACAAGGGTTTGTAAAGAAGGCTCTAAATCAAGGTACCAGTGGGAATATTGTGGAGGCCATCATGTGGATACCACTATGATATCACTACCACCATCACCACCGCTAGAGAATTTTATACCTTGTCAAGATTTTTATTATCTGAATGCTGATTTAAACAGCCTCCGCGGCTGGGGTTGACGGAGACCTGCGCTTGTGCCTCATTTCACCTACCCTCATGTGCAATGCCACTTGACAGTGCAGTGAATGCCGAACCACGTGTTTTGGGGCGTGCCATGATGATCATCGATTTTTTCAAATGAGGCACTCGAATTCGCTCCTCGCGCATGACTGGTTGGTGGCAGGTGGACCAATCACCAGGAGGCATTCAGTTGGCGTGGATTTTCCAGCCCTGCTAACTCAAAAATTTTTTTCCCTCAAAGTCGCGTGGAAAGAGAAAAAACAACTAGAATACTGTGAAGAAAAGAAGGTAAGAGGTGGGTCATTTTAAAAACATTCATTTTTTCCTAACACAATAAGTGGATGTTCACCTAGTGAACGCATTTATTAACCATTTAATACTATTTTTTGCCTTGAGGGCAAAAACATTTACAGGCTGTAGAAGGGCGTTTTGAGAGACTTCAATAGTTGTGGCACACTTAGGCGATGTTGTTGAAGCACTTGAAATTAAATTTCGAGCGCTTGACACTACGTAATTCACTAGGCCATGATGGCAGAGCGGAATCCAGACCGTATTGTTTGTCTTGGCAGCGAACAATACGACCCAGAATTGAAGTGTATGCACGCTATGCGGAGGAGGTGAACGTCACTATCGTGTCTAAAATTTCGTTTAAAAGGAAAGAAATCAACGACCAAGGAGAGAGATTTATTGGGCTTCAGGAGATGATGTAGTGAACATTTGCCCTACAAAGGCCCGGCCCAATTGAACTCCTCCGTCCGACTTTTGTGGTGGTTGTCAGGATGGCTATGTAGATTGCTTAGCCCTCCCTTGCTAAAGCGTCATGGAATCGGTGGTCGGCAGTCGACGAAGTTTTTGAACGGCAACCAGACCGTAACGCATGTCTGCTTGAATGTACCTTTTAGGGGAGAGGCTGTCAGTGGCCACGAACCTCAGAACGGATCGGACGCCTTCCACTACCCCCTTGAGGAGGAAGCGCACTCCAAACACGCTTAACCGCGGCGCATCTGTACCCAGTAAAGCACTCATATCCAACTCATCTGTTCGTCCCAAGGGTATGGAGGGCTGATGCGGAGAAAAACACATAACCTACAACACGGACAACCCGCTCAGACGTAGGCCCCTTCGGAGAAACAAGTGTAAACCACCACACCCCAAATCAATGCCTTAGGCAACCTTGCCATACCAAAGAAAAGGGAATCGTGACGCACACGACTAGAATTACATCCATCGTCACCTCACGAAAGAGGAATTTGAGTCACATCATCCTGTAACATTATTTATTTCTCAAAAACAGGGGGACGGGGGGAAGGAGGGAACAGGGGGATAGCAGACGATAGTAATATTGTTATTTTTGTCTAATATTTACTTTTTTTGCCTGTGTACGCATGAATGTGTAAATGTTTGCACGAGGGTATGAATTACATCGAGACACATGTATAGGCAGATGAATGCTTGGGTCAATCAATCGATGAGTGGGTAGGTGTCGAAGCTGCCAACAACAATGACAACCTATTGCTGACATTGTGTAGCTTGTGCGTGGTTGTGTTACACAGTTACATATCTATCTGCCCGTCTAGAGAATGAATGAAACAATGGCTTGATGGTGATGATGATGAGACGTGACGCACAGCAAGAAACACACTAATGCATAAGAGAGCCACGCAGCTTCGCGAGGCTAGGAGTTCAGAGGACCAAAGAAGGACAAAACGGGTATTAAGGGAGGGGAAGGAAGGAAGAAATGTTTGCTGCAAGGTCCGTGTTGCATTTATACTTATACGTGAGTGAGTAATTTTATGCCTTCAGTTAAACCGAGAGGTTGTTGTTGTAGTGGTGGTGGTGGTAGCAGTAGTAGAGGGGTACAAAAGTAGAAAACGATAGCGATAAAAAATTAGATTTCTCGGTTGCGTTATGGAGTTGGGTGGAGGGGGGTAAAAGGGAAAGGGGGAGGGAGTAGTAGACGTATTTTTAGCCAATAATAGTGGTACCGTTAGCCAGTTTTCCAATCGATCGGATAAGCTTCTGCCAAACAACCGGTATCCCCTCTTTCTGCCTTCCTTCGCTATCTTGGCAACCGGTATAAAAATAGATGCTACGAAGAACTGTGCCGAAGCGCGCGTTTTTTGCCACGTCATTCAAATGTCACAAAAGGGAGGTGCAATGACTCCTGTTCGATGATTGTTTTCTGCTCACTTTTCCTTCATCCTCCAAGAACGATGATGATGATGATGATGATGATCGCAACGATGAGAGGGAGGAATGAGATGGGATGGACGGGAATACATCTTGACATGCAACACCGAGGGAAGGGGAAAAACCTATTTAGACACAAAAATACAATGAAAAGGAGGAGTGGGATTACTTGTGGCAGTTTTATGTGCGCAGGCTAGTAATAGTGGGGGAGGCAAATGCAGAGACACATTGAAGAAAATCACCATCATTAGCAGCAGTCAGGAGACCAAAAATAGTTCAGTAGGTACGCAGAGAGAGAGAGAGATAAACGGGGGTGGAGGGGACTAAAAAATATGGATTCAAAGGGGGCCCAAGGGTATACATATGCATGTTTACGAGAAGGGGGAGTGTTACGGTTAGAATAAACAAAGACACCGAGTGATTTTATACGTCAAGTACGTTCGTATCAGAAAATACTCTTTCTCTTTCTCTCTCTGGTTCAGTCACTCTCAATCTTGTCTTGCATGTTCTAATCCATCTGACTAAACTGCGGGAATGGAGGTAGCCTCGGTGGGTGCTGCAGAAGCCCCAGTCGGTGGCGAAGCGCGACGTCTGCCCTCCCCAATAGCTCCGCATCGATTTGACGTCGAGACGGGTGGGATTATCACTCCCGCCGCCGCAGTACCAGAAAACGGATTGACGGAGAAACAGAATCCTCCACCACCACTGCCACCATTGGTGTTGGCAGCATTAGTAGAAACAGCATCGCTCCAAATGCTTCGCAGAGCAGCATCCGAGTTCACTGAACCCTCTGAGGATAAGCCATCGGAGGCTCCACTGTTTTTGAAGAGCGTCGCCGGCCAACCGGAAGAAACAGCCATAGCGTCGGAATCCGTGTTCTGGTACTGGTTATCAAAGCCTGGTGGGTAGGCAAGTTCATCGCGAATGCATCCACCATCATCGCTGCTGAGACAGAGGGACTCCAGAGTGTTGATAAAATCGAATCCTCCGGTTTGGTTAGCGTCACTGCCCGAAGTCTTCATATTTTCCAACATGAGGTGATGTTGGTGCTCCGAAGCCATAGTGTGACGTCGGAGGAGGGTGGGACTATGACCAGTGCCAACGACGACAGGAGCGCCCGCAGAGAAAGAATGACGAGCTGCACTGGGCCAGAAAGCCGTCGTGGAGGCGGACGCACCACAAATCCCATGGTGGTCTGAGAAATCCGCTTCCGGATGGAAGTCCACGGCTAGACAGAGTAAAATGGATGGGGACTGACCTCAAAACGTGGTTTTCGTTAGAGCGGCCCCATCGCACCACATGCGTGTGCTGTTGCGATGGTAGTTGCTGCTATGGCAACAGCACAAGCGCAGCGACCTTAATAAGACTAGCTAGCAAGATGTCACATGCTGCGAATCAGCACGCACACACACACACGAGATCAATGCACACACACACACACGCAGCACGCGATAACAGCACACAGCAGAGGACGGCACATCAGACCAGCGTATCCTTACGTTTTTTGGCGTCGTGTGCATTTCTGCAGGTCACAGAAGCACTAGCCGGCTAGTTTGCTTAAAAAATTCGTTTTTTAGAAGCCAGATGGAAGTTACACGGCCTTAACGATGCAAACGAGTTGAACAACTTCCTTGTATTTGCCCTGGGTAGCGATTTCCAATCAATTTACCAAATGCGAGCTCCACCAAAAGGTGCCGCCCAAAACTCATCAAACACCGCATTAACTTTTGACTAAGAATAAACTGCTACAACAGTTAATTGTCCCAAAGACTCAATCAGAAGTCCATCTGCTAACACCCCACCCGAAACCTGATTTAATCGTATTATATTTACACACTTGAACGTCAAGAACTTCTCGACTCCCCAACCATCACTAATCGCGATTTAGAATAGTGATTACAAAAGGTCTGTTGACCGAACAACCGAAACAACTGAATAAGACCAGACGAATCAAAACAAACTCCGCCTCGCTTAGATTACGAATGCACTGCAAAAAAAAAAAAAAAAAAACAAGAAAAATAGCTGAGCCCGATTATCTACACCAGTCGACTAGATATTGTTGCACAATTACAACAGTCTAAATAGATCAAGCATTCGCCTATCTTGGTGTTTATCGGGCTTTCAGAAGGTCCGCCTTTATCTACAAAAATACAGGCAAATAAAACCATCTAAATCGGGTCCAAAAGTTCCTCCACTCTGATCTTTTTTACCATGTTTTCTGTGTGATGTCACTCATTGCAGAAGCAGTAGACACCAACCAGCTAAGTTTTGTTTCTTTCCATTTTCCAGAAGCCTCAAATCCTAATGAGTTGCATATTAAGATGAATCTGGCTATATGCCTATAACAAGTTGGGCAGATTTGACGGTTTTCCGATCAAACTTGGGGTGGTGAACAGGCACAGCCTTTGTGGAACAGAAATACAGCGGCCTCTATACATAGTCAGTCAGGTGCTGCATCGTGGTAATTACGGACTTAAAAGTCAGAAAGAGCTTACACAGGTGCTTTGAATATACGAGTGCAAACAGCCCAATAAAAGTTAAACGCAAGCGAAAAATTTCGACGCATTCTAACTAGTGTATGCCCTTCTTCACCTTTTGCGTGAAGTCGGCCGCCGCAAAAGTAACGGACGTCTAGTCAGCAACTAACTTGAAGACAATGTTCTGGCGGTATCTACGGAATTTGGTCGCTGTGCCTAGGTCAGCTATCTTAGAATAGCTAAGTAAAAGTCGAATAAACACATCAGTACATTTCCCTGCATCAAATGACGTTCAGCATGTTTCGAGCAGAGTGTATCAGAGGTTAGCCACAAAGCTTGAACGCGGCCGAAAGAAAGCAAAAGTGCAACACGCGTTTTGGCTAACACATTCTGCCTGTTTTTGTCATGCTTTCTACATGAAAGTCGCCACAAAGGCAACAGACGCCAGACAGTTCAGCCAAAAAATCCGATTTAGCATCGATTTCCACGCACACCACGATCCCTTTTGTCATGTTTCAGGTTTCGACTACCGAACAATCAATCAGACAGAGAGATAAAACTAGCTGAATTAAACCAAATGAATACATTTAAAGTAGACAGTCTGGCAGCCCATTATTTCCTAACTGCACAGTTAAGATGATCAAATGAAAGTATTCAACATTTCTCCGCCTAAATTTAGGTTTCCCGATTTAAGTACCAATTCTCGAAGAGGCGTACGGTCTATCAAACAGACGGTTAAGTGATAAGTGGTCCAATCTCTTTAGGCGTCGCGTCGTGTTTTAACTGGTTCGTTCTGAGTTTTGTGTGTTTCTTGTTTGGTACTTGTCACAGAAGCTGGCTTTAACATCGATTTTAAGCTGACCTTTTAGACACTACCTTTGACCGGTCAAATGTCCACGAAATCAAAACTGCAAAACTAGAGTCCAAACATAAGACAAGCGCTTTCCACGTACTTTCTGCTGTACAAGAGATTATAGATTGCCTCTAATGCGGATTTTATCAGAATATATGCATATGACTAAAACATTCCAATCTGATCAAGTGTCTCGAATTCCGTAAACTAAGCAGTTAAAACAGCGAAGTAGCTACTACAGTGCATGGGGTAAAGTCTACATGACCGAAAAACGTTTTTGTTGGTATATGCACATAATTAAAATAATCGATTTGCAGAACCACTTGCATTTTCAGGCAGGCACTTAACAGATGACCGACTCCTTCATCAGTCCTACCGATCACCTCCAACCCTCAAGCTGGTAGAAAAAACTCACTTGTCAGTCGCCTCTCAGACAAAAATCCACCGAGCAAGTTGACCTGAGCAGGAACGGTCGTTGAAGACGTCGAGAAGACAGTATTCTGTGATGCAACACGCGCCTGATGGAAGGGACTGTTGTGACACGAACCCGTGACCTTCTCCGTGGGGAAGAAGTCCGCACCAAAGGCACCAGCATTTCCACCACTGCCGACAACCGCAGCGGCAGTACAAGGCGACCCTGGCAACGAGCCTGCTGCTGCTGCTGCTGCAGCAGTTGTAGCGGCCGCCGCAGCTGCCAGCTCCTTTGCCCGACGTGTCTTGCTCTTTGACTCAGCCAAAATGCGATCAAGAACCTCCCGTGCCTCATCCGAGTCCATCTGCGCCACATCGGGCCACATCCATGCCACCGTCTTGGAGGTTTTGCTTTCCTCCGCCTCATCGCCAGCTGAGTTGCTTCGCGATTTCCCCGCATTGCTGCTTCCAGCCGGACCGTCTTCCAACTCCTCACTGGCTCGTCTCTCGAACTGACGCATCACCAAATGACCAATCAGTTGCTTTGCCTGTTGAACTCGACACTCGGCAGCCTGGTTAGAAGTCATCCCAAGCGACTGGTAGGCAGATATTTCGAATTCTGATGTGGCAGAAGGACCACGAGCCGCCTCCTTAGGGGGACTCTTGATCTCCGTCCCTGTATCCTTCTGAATCGTAGTAATAATCGAACCCTGAGTGCCGATTATTTTTCCCACCATGTCCTGTGGGACAGAGATTTTCGAGCGCGCGAGAAGAATGCGTCCACTGGAACTGCTCAAGTTGTTTCCATTCGAAGCGAGGAGACCGTTTCCAACACCGCTGTTGGTACCATTACTGCTGTTGAAGGAAAAGGTCTCAGCGGAGTTAACAGCGGTGACAGCGATACCACTATTGACGCCAGGGGTTATGGAATTGAGTGTGGTTTTGAGGAGCGGTGCAGGAGAGGGAAGGGATGCATTCGGTAGGTCGTCGGGGCTACGACTAACTAGGCGTCCTCCACCGGTCCCACTGGAAGCGCCAACCGATCCATTGACCGAGAAGAGAGACATGCAACCAGGTATGGAGCTAGTGGAACCACGACGACGCTCACTTGCCGACATCTTGCTCTGGGTGATCTCCTGCGCTCGCGTTGAAATTAGCTCAGCCACGTGGAGTGCGATTTCCGGTGGGGCCTCTATTATGAAGACGTGATCCTCGTACTCTCCTGGAGTGGTTATCAGCGCCCCCGTCTCTTCTCGAATTAACTTGATTTTCTGACCTGAATGGGAGGCAGGGTAACACCAATGATGGAAACGCAATGAGTCCCATGACCCGTTCTTTCGCCGCAGGTAGGGTAATCACAAGAGAAACCGCCCACGCAGAGGCTAATTGGAGCTGCTGGTACCCTAGCTAGTATCAGTTAAAAATAAGCCATCGACTCCAGAAAGACACGCGCGCTTCTGCTTATGCGCCTGCATGTACGATTGATTTATGGAACGAACACGAAGTGTCCACGTCATTGTATTCCACTTGTGCGGTGCCTCCACGTAATTAAAGCGTGGAACAGCAAGACGACAAACTAATTTCCGTTTTCTGATTAAAAATAAACTGACTTGAGAAAGCGGTGTCGGTATGACTACTTGATGTGTGGAAGAAAAGCTCATACATAAAGGGTGGCAGTAAGATGGTGACGATCCGCTTTATAAGTTGCTCCGCCATCACAATACCTAGGATACCGGAGTCAAGTTTTTAAATTGACAGTCCTACACTTCAAAAACTCACAAGACCCCTCCCTCTCAATTACTTAAACGCATTCACAAATAGGACGAAATTGTTTCAAACACGTGGACACTGGGTAGATAAACTAACTACCTACCTCCTTTTCCGACAATCTCGGAGACATGATCTTTGCTGGGTACTCGAACACCCAGCTGCATATATGAGGCTTTAGTCTTGGCTTCCGTCTCCCCATACCGATTACGAAAGTGGGCAGAAATTCGGCCGTAGGTATGGCTGGTGGAGCGTCGCGAATTCTCCTTAATTCGCTCCAACTCCGGCCCCACGATGTAGCCGCGTTTCTGTGCGACTGAATTGTAGAAAAGACGGTCTTGCATAAACAGTCCGGATGCTTGGCTATTGGCGGCGGTGTTGATGGCGGACCAGCCGTTATCACAACGTGGAATGGGCATAGAAGGAAAGAGTTCTCGCTGGGGTGGACGTCTTGAAAGCACCAATGGAGGGCAGTCGATAGAGTTGGAGTTCATGAGAACGTTGCTACAAGACGCATCGGTTTGGCGTTTAAGCGTAGCAGTAAGCGGATAATGATTGTAGAATGGTGAATTCTGAAGGCTATGATAGTCATCCATCACCTTGTTTCCAGGATTTGGAGTGGTAAAAGCGCTGCTTATCATGCCACTCGGATACTTGTTCATGAGATGTGGGGAGGCCATTACAGCATAACCATTCGTCACTGGCTGCATGGGGGAATTACACGTTACCGGATTTGACCTATTCAATGACATGGTTCCTAGGCCGCTGTCTTTATCTAAAGAGAAGGTTTTCTGGGTGCTAGCTGGAAGTCCGAGCGTGTTTAGTCCCGTGAAAGACGCTCTGTTATTCGATCCGCCACTATACTCGCCATTATGCATAAAAGTTAACAGCCGATCGGAGATAAAGTCGTCATCAAAGCTTGCAGTTGTTGCACTTGGCATAATGGAATGCCGTGGAAGTTCTATTCTCACCTACGCATAGAGGGTATTCAGAGAGGGGCTTGTCTCAGTCTCTTCGCCTCCTGTAGTGTCGTCGTTGCTGCTGCCGTCGACGTCGTTGGCTTAGCACAGAGCAGGCGAAAATGGGCCTGTAGGTTAGCGAATATCAACGCACACCCAACACACACACAACCAACACACGCACTACTTCTTACGGCTCAAACCAGCACGCAAACAAGGTTGACTTCTTTTAGCCAATCACTGCGCCCCTTTCGGCAAAAACTGTCATCTGCTGCGCGCCCATTGGTTCACGCACCTGGTGCTTGAACCAATTGTTGGGCCGCAGCACCACTGTGTCATCGTCTGCTCGGCCTGTTGTCTATCCGTCGAGTGCGCACGTGTGACCACCACCGGCTAACAGCCGGCTTTGCGTACGCACGCACGCGCGCCCGTTTACACTGCATGCATCCGTACGTAGGTGCGTGCGTGTGTATGCGGGGTCGATACTTGAAAGCAGACTGCGTGTACTGCCCCAAGCATAGGCGCGTATGCATGCGCTACGGCTGGTCTAGTTCACTGGACACGTGCCGGTAAATGGCGTCTGACTCATTGGTACTGCCCCAGTGTTTCCAAATTCTGGCTAGGTTGGGCATCACACCAGTCCTAAATCAAGTTTACTACCACCATCACACCCCCATGGTGGGCTAACCACCTGGCTCTGAGGCTCTTGCTTCGAGTAATTAGCATTGCCACTCCGGCTTCACGTAATTGCCACGGTAGTTGCAAATAAGCAGTCTCATGGTGGCGATTCTGCGTTTATTTTAACAGGACTAACTGCAAATTGTCACCTCTTTCTGTCTCTGCAAATATCAAGTTTTGTGTGTGTCGGAATTTGCGATGCGAGTTTGAGTTAACGTGGTACCGAAAGTTCATCCAGGTTATACGAGTATCGCACCTTCTCGCAATGCATGCACTGTGGTGCATGCATTGCGAGAAGGTGCGAATGGAACCATAGGGTAATCCATTTGCAATGACCTCAAAAGCCTGACAGGAGGCATTGCTAACGCTAAGGTTGGGATGATCACTTTACCAGTAAACAAACGCCTATGTGAGTAACATAATTTTCCATTCGACTATTCCCATGATCAGGACTGGGATGGCGCTAACGAACCCACCCCGGGCAAAGTAATTCAATTACAGGCTCTTTAGTGAATGAGTCACTTTAACTATGGCATAATTTTGAGAGGGAGTTAAAGCTCTCTCTCTTCTGCTACATACTAGTGATGATCCAACTATACTGCACATGCAGCATAAAAACCATCCATAAAACCGCCCTTCCCCTCCCCGGCCCTAAAATGCGCCATGGCAACAGTGATGGGAAGATCACAACATCAGGAGGCCAATATCGAGCGCTCAGGTGCCAGCACCAGTAACCCCAGCCACAACGCACTATCGATCCGATCACCTGAGCTGTGATCAAAGAACACGAGTTGTGTTGTCTTATCGACTTTGCCGTTGGGTCTGTGAAAAAAGGAGCTCATCTCTGGCACCAAAAAGGTGTTGACTTGGGTTCTGTCCATACAATTTCAAGTCATTTAAAAATTTTTCTACTTACTGTGAGTGATGAATGATAGGAGAAAAAAGGGGAGACTTTTTGCTGCGATCACAGCATACAATTTTTGTGCAGTAATTCCATTCTAAAAATGCATCAGTCATTGACCCTCCTATTCGCCTATCCATCTGTCTTTTCCAATCCTTTCCTACTGCCCCGTCTGCAGTATTGCAATGAGGCTTCGCCGTGTTAGAGTGATGGAACGAAGTTCGAACTTACAACCATAGAAATCTGTCAACAATCAAACTATGAAATCCCTGGAACCAAAAAGCAATTCAGGACATGAAGAAACTCACACATCTGCGCACATGACAGTTAATAGGAATTGTAAACATGTGGCTAGGAGAATATTTACTTTCACAACCTCTGTCAGGCTTTGCCATCACTTTATATGCACTAGTCGTGGGGATGGAAAGATGAAAGTCATTAAGATTTTATCCGAATAGTGTTCAATCGAACTGGAAGTATTTCAAATGCCCCAGTTATGACTTTAGGTGAAGCAGACAATAGCGAAAGTTCCGGAGGTGGGCCCAGAACATAATTTGAGAGCTGTTGAAGAGCTATCGGATGAAGCCTCTCCACCCACCTCTTTCAAGTGAGTCAGTAGGCATAACACGATTGGTGGACACCACTTTGCCCCTTTTCATCACTCTATAGTTTGCTTGGGTGGGAGCATCGATCCTGGAGATTTAAAGCACTGATAATTTTACTGTAGTGCAATTGGGATTATCACAAATGGATATCACGCTTGTTTCCATGAGGAACTAAAGGATAGGGGTTTTTATAACAGGCCCAAATTCGAAACTGGTGTGACTTAACGATCTGGTACTTTTTAAAAATACTAACTCACAATCTTTGCGGGTTTGGTGGAACAACCCAGGTCACAAAATATGATCCGTGTATTCACCAGTCTAAATGCACAAATTCCTCCACCTTTTCGAGTAAGTACACTGTGAATGCATCATTTGGGGAAAAAGGCGGTCTAGGGCAAATGGCAGCGACTATCGAAAAACATTGGTGGTAATGCTTAGGTCTACAGCATATGGTAGCACTCATCACTAATATTTTGAAGATATTAAAATATTTGGTCAATTTACGGTATGTAAAAACTGAAACCAATATTACGATCCAACCTCCAATCTGATGAGGCTTTTCATGCGATTAAGGAGGAATTCAAAGTGACTTCTTTCCTCCTAATATATTTATCATTATCTTCTAAAGTCCTATCACCGAGCTTAACAAAACGTTCAATTACTGAATTTGTAAATAAAGTGTGCTTGAAACTAATCACCTTCAATTTCCACATTGACTGTTTTAGTGCTTCTCAATCATTTCCAAATAAGTCTAATTTTTGAGTAATTTTATTAATTAAATGGAGGAAATAGAGACATCTCGATATCATTCATTATATTTTCTTGTTGTAAGTTAAAAAATAACCAAGTAAATGTGGAAAAGAAACCAGACTAACAGCAGGAAGTTGGCCTATTTCAAAAAGCCCTTTTACCGCTGCGATTAAAAGCCTTGTTAGTGTCTAGTAATGAAGGTATAATAAATGGTAAGACACTTTTGAGTCAAGTGAATTTAATAAGAAACCAGAGGAACGACGATATTACTTAGCTCACTAGAATGTGCTTCATCATTATGATTCACCTTGAGTATTTTGAATATTCAACCCAAAAGCTCTTTAATGGAGTTTCTGCCCCTTGTGACCTAGGTGGGTTTTTATGGCCAGAGGTCTCCCCTCAGACTGTTCTAAATTATGGCCATGAACCGCAAAGCCCTAGCTATGGAGTGGCTGAAGCAAGAACAACAGTAGCCGCCGCCACCCTCTCCAAAGGGTAAATCGGCGACACCCTAGACTGGCAAGTGAGTCACTGGCGTGGCATCGCCCAAACGCGGTACACAAGGCGTAAAAAGATTGCACACACAATAGGGCAGGAAACAGTGCTTCTCTGAGTCACCACTCTAGCGGCTGTGGGCGGTACCTGCATATGACTCAACCTCAGGTAAATGTGGGGATATTCTACATAAAATGGGATGTTGCAGGAGGGTAGTAAAAGCCTACTTGTTACTTTAGCTTTATAATTTCGCCACCGTCTCGGTGCCCTGCCCACGCCTATGGCGGCTCTACATCTAAATGAACAGGCTCCCTAAATACTACATCCAAACGTCCCCTGTTGATGGTTGGCATCTTAGTGGCTCCAATTCGAATTGTAGACGAAACAAAACTTAGCGTTCCTTAGCTTAAAAAAAATGTTGGTTGAAACTGACAAATGTGAATTGAGTTTAACTGGATTCCAAAGCCGCTAAAACTTTCCGTGAATTAGATTGTGTACCATCTTAGGGTGTGTGGGGGTGATATGAAATCATGCGGACAAGCAAATCACTCAGTGGTAGAGGCACCATGTGCGGAGAGATGGTCTTTTCTTGACAACACGCACCAATTCAAAATAAACGGTCTTGTCTAAATGCCATGGGCTATCAAATCTCGGAGAATCAGCTTGAGAAACCATCCACTCCTGCTTCACTTCTTTCACTTGCATTATAAAAAACGCATTTTTGAGAGGCAGCGGCTTGGATTGGATACTGATTGATCTACCGATGAGAAATGGATACTGCATTCTACAGGAAAGCGAGTGAGGAGGTGCATTGGTTTTCCTGCACTACCCCATACCTCTAAGCCACTTATCGCTGCATTCCCTAAAGATCCTCTTCTTGCGTGATCCACTTCACACGTAATTGTCGGTCAAACAACAGCCACGGCTGAGATTTACCTACTGCCTGGTTCAATTTGTTCACAAAGTACTGCTTACCTGGAAACAGACAGGACTAGTGCTATTATTAAAATGCAGCGCAAGACCAAGTACGGCAAAGCACACCCTTGGGAGGTATTTATGGCGCACTTTAGGATGGAAGGAAGGTACTGTCTCCCTTGATGACATTTCTCCTAGCAACTGCCAACTTCACTTGGCATTAGACAGTCGCAAGCAAAAATAGGCATTTTAGAAGTACAACTTAGGTAGAAAAAGAGGTGACTGGTACTAGGCCATTTGGTTTTAGAGAGTGAAATGCAGGCTTGTATCTCCCTGACAAAGGTTAACTTTGAAAGCTTAAAAAACATGAATTTATTAGGTTTTAGCCCTATTTCTCAAATTAATCTAACCTTGTAGTCAGACATCTACTATCACTACTGTAATGGGTAGCATTCTTTCCATGATGCAAATTTGTATCATCTCACTTCCTGTCTCGTGAAGAGTTAAAATTCCGGAGAGAACTCAAGATGGCTGAATGACCTTAAAGAGTGCTGTAGACGATGCACAAGTGAAGAAGGCCATGTTCGCTTATCAATATTTCTACCTAATTTTGCCTGTGGCTTATGAGGTCAGCATTGAATATTCTGGATGGGTGGAAAGGGGAGGAACGGGAAACCTTCATTAGCCTGGTCTGATGATTACCGATGGTTGTGCATGATAAGGACAGCGAAAAATCGCTTAAATCACCAAATAGGCTGCATAATTAGTCCCACATGTATAGTGCACCGCAGATGAACAATACCGAACAAGTACCTTGAGTGGGAGATGATATTCAGCACACAGTTACTGTGTCAAAGTAGCACAGCTGCCCTGGGATGCGTGAATTTGGTTACGATAACCAGAAAATTTGTAATTTAAAAGTACAGTAACTAATTTAAGGCAAGGCAATGGCGGGGAGACTAGTATTAAACTGACATCTTCCACCCTAATGAACTTCCGTTTACACGACAATTCCCTTCTCGTCTTTGTGACCAATCGAGCAGAGGGAGGCCAACATGGGATTAGAGAATAACGCATAAAAAACCAAACGTATATAATGCTTCCCACCTAAGTGTATGACAAATGAGAATGTCTTTGCATGCGAACCTACGTCACACCAGTGTGTTAGGGAAGTAAAACTACCAAGATGTCGGAGTCATCAAGATTTAGGACCGAGCTTAGTGAAAGAGTGAAACTCAACCAATTATTCGGTCAGTCATTCGAAACGCAAGCATGGAAAACGTGTCAGCTTTAGTACACTTCTCAAAGGGACCATGAGAAGAAAAAAATCAGTCAATTTATTCGTCAATCAATAGTTTAAGTAAGGAAAAATTGATAATCATGCGGTTTTAACTCAGGCAGCGGGAAAAGTCGAGCTCTTTTCCCCTAACCCTATTGGCAATCCATGGACCTCAAGGCTAGCGCAACGAAACTGCGCAATTTTAACTTACTGCTGTTTGCGAGCTGTTACTGATGCTACTGCTGCTGATGATGATGGTGAGGCAGGTGAGTCACCGAAATGGGGTTTATTCATCCTCCTATCTCATGTGGAGGGGGTACGTGTATGAGTGCGTGGGTGAGAGAGGGGTGTACAAACATCACCTGCGCATTTGCATAGGAGTTATTTGTAGCATGCACACGCACATGCACACTCAAGTATACACACGGAGCAACAAGGTAGATGCACGTGTTCACATGCTTCGAAAACAATGTGCCCCCTTACTGTGCCTCCTCTTGGTGGAATCGAAAACTGGCATGTCAGATGCACCCCCATCCCCCAAGCTGGTGCTAGATTTGGGGCGTAAACAAGGTGGCATGATGGAAAGTACTAAGCGGGCAGACTTACATGCCAATGAAAAAAGGCATAAAGAAATACAAATTCAATGTATACTTACCAGCGATGTACCATTTGTGCGAAGCGATGGCAAGAAGTGAGAAATCTGCAACGAAATTCGCCTTAATCAGCTGATAAAATCGATATCCTACTAAGAATCGATATACAATCGGATTTTCGCATATAAAAGCTAGGAGCAAGTGAACACAGGTGCACGCCTTTACCCTCTGTCGACCCAAAAACCATTTGCCAGTGTGGATTTAAAAAAGTACGAATCAAGCGCTTGCTCCAGAATACGTGTTAAATCTTCATCATTTAATTAGAAACTACTACTAAGACACACAAATTGGATTTTTTAAAAGACCAATGGCTCTATGAACTTGATATTGACGTGTAAAAAAAGCAATAAGCAAATAGCTTCAGAGTTCCATTTACAGGATTCGTCGTCTTAAAGTCAGAATTTCTTTAGGGGAGAGGCCATCCTGATCAGTGGACATGATTGATACCTCTTGCGGTTTAGCAGGACGCGCCTAACTACAAAATATGGTACTTGCCACAATTGTGGCTAATATGCTAGACTCAAAATCGTCCGTCTCAATTTGTCTGCTTCTGCCACTTCCACAAGTCCGAAAATTAAGCTGTAAACGAAACCAATGGGAAGACTAAGAGGGAGTGGTTAGTATTGTTTCCCTCCTAACCACCTTTCAAAAACAGCCAACATGTGCACACCCAAGGTGTGCTGAATCATCCTGCTATCTCAATTCTAGGCTAAGAATGAATGGGAGGAATAGGGGAGACGGGTTTTTCAGACCTCCCCACTGTCCAACAGTTGGGTGGTGTATCGTTGATCCAGGCGAATTCGACGCACCACCAATCACATTTTGGGTGAAAATGGACCCATTTTCAGGGTGAGACTTGCAATTCACGCACAGAAAAAAGAAAAACAATAAACACCGAGAATGCGAGCACTAGATTGACTGCAACCCTGACAAGTTGGTGTTCTCGTGATGCAGCGGACGATGCGTTGCGTGAAATGATGGGCACTTCGTCTCATCAGAGCCGTCACCGTGTAGGCTGAAGCTTAGATTAGCGCGTGGGTTCCACCCTTGAGGAAAAATGTGCTGAAGCAGTTATTTTGTTTCGAATCCTCAGTTGACTAAGGGAGAGTTTTGAACATCCTACGATTTGATCACTACCGCTATCCCAAGTTGCTCTGTCCATCTGTAGGATTAAAACAAAGTCCATTCTAGGCTAGAATGGCGAATATTGAACTAGAGACCAACTGTTTGTTATTACCTGAGGATACATTGCATGTATGCTAACGTTCTTTCGAAGAGTGTGTGTTCATGCTACAACGTCGTCTAGTTGTTGGCACTTTTCCTTAAATAAACCCATCCATCCATCCGTATGCGATTGCAAATCAAAATCAGGCTTCTCCACCATCACTCCAAAAGCACAGCTACCCAATTTAAAATGACCGAATATTGCGCTTAAACTCCACAGCTGAAATGAGTTTGCTGCAAGTGGATGAATCGGTGCCAGCCCACCTCAGAGGGATCATCGAAATCCTCCCAAACCATTGACGGATTTTAGAATTTCGACTCTTTCTAAATGAAGAGAAGTTAAGCGATAACAGGTTCGCATGACTGTAAAAGGTATGGTGGGGAGATGAATACAATTATCACAGGAAATCCTCTAATTATGTGCGATACCTAAAGGTCTGTTTCCTTCTTCGCCTTGCGTAAAGTTGAAACCAACTTGGATGGACAACTTTGTGGCGAAAAAATGCAATTGCCTTACATTCGTGTGTTCTATTAAACGGTAAATGTTTTGCAAACTGAAGAAATCAACCGTGCCCTTTTTTCAAAAAAAAATAAAAAAAAACAAAACCTTGCATCAAGTGTAAAACACCTCAAAGTATGAAACTAAACACATGGCTGGGAGATTAATTTTTCCGGTCACTTGCTTCACTAGACAGCGACGGGTCATTGAGTTAAGTACTTCGTTCAAAAACGCCAATGTTACTCCAAATTACGCAGAAGACCCTTTTGTATATCCCAAAAATTACTGGCTTTAGAAAAGGTAAAACTCTTGACTGAGTGTGTTGATAGGCCTCAAACTAAGTAGGTAGATTAGGGCCTTTCCCCATGCGAAAAATACTTGTGAAGGTGTAACCAAGCTTCTCAGTCTCCCTAATGTTACCTGAAAATTGGAATCCATTCGGAAAATAGCTAAAAGGAGCGTAAAGTGGCGCTAAAGGGATTGAGAAGTAGGCTTTTCTAGTTCGAAGGAATGATAAACTGGGGTTACACAATTAGAATAGGGATGTTTCAGGGGAAAGCGAGCAATGCCACGTCACTACCAAGCACTTACCTCCTGACCGCGTAAATGAATTTTGAAATTTTCCACGAATCAGATTGCCATCGCACTAATCGAAATTGCTCAAGAGAAACACGTGATTGGTTGAGGGATTGATAAGGAATGAAATTCAAAATTGAGACTACAATTACTTTAAAACAAGAGAAGATTACTTACAATTGCATAATGTTGTAAAAGCAGATCAATATTTGTCTTAACTCTTGGTCCACCTTCTACTAGGTCACCACCTTGCTGCCATGACATTCCACTCCCGTGTAGGATCGCAATACACCATCCATCCCTCTATTCTAGTTTAGCTTCCAAGAGGACTAAAATATGCTAATACATGCGGTAGTGGCAGGCAAACCCCATCCAGGTAAGTGATGACTTCGTTTTAGTTTGCTAGTTATGCAATTCATCAATTGTTTGTTTAACTCCCGGCTTTGGCAGCGGGTCACTTGGGGTACCACCATTGTTACTTCACCAAGTGTGCTGACCCTCGGGCTATGCCAGTTGCACCGATTTCTACCATACGCCGACAATACATATTCTGCTTGAGTATTATGCCTTCCTACATCTTCAGTTGCAACAAACCTATTCATCACAGAAGAAGAACATTTGCTGTGAATGGTTGGAGTTGTGGAGATCCGCCAAGTAAGGTTTGCGACGGCGTGTCCTTAGTATCGTCTCCTCCACGATTATTACTGAGTTATCAGCAAATCAAGGCCAACTTTTAAGAAATAGCAACTCTATGGCTTTGAACGACAACACTCATCTCCCAGTAAGTGTGTACGACACCTCACAAGGTGAAGTATGGCCCCAAATCCCACCTTTAGAAAGAATATCGTCTCCGGAGGCAAACAACCCAAGCCACATCCATGGCCATCTCGCTTCTCTTCTATTTCATGTGTGATTGTCTACTGCCAAGAAAAGTGTTTCATCTCCTCTACTCCCTCCCATCCTCCAGAGGTGCATCAGACCTCCGCATTGACCAGTCTTGAAGCGGTATGAAGTCTTGTGTATTGCCTTTTAAAAATAGGACTCTCCTTCAACTAGTTCACTAGCCCTGGCTGTTTTATGGTAGAGAAGTTTTTTTTCTTGCGTGCTTCTGACTGATACTGAGGTGTTACCCAAGTCGTAGATGCCACTTGGCCGTCAGCAATAATTTTACGTAAAATAATTCCGTGCGCACTTCACTGCACACAGTCTTGCAGGGTGAAGAGTTGCCTTGGCAATGTGGGGTGAGTAATGAAGAGGTCGTTTGAGGGTAATGAGCGTTTAATGTTGGAATAGGGAAACAATTTCTTATTTCCACTTAATTTGATTCACATAGATAAACCATGATTAACCTTGACCTGACTATCGACACTTGAAGAAGCAATTGTGCGTAGAAGGAATTGGGGGCTTTAGCATTGCGCGTAGACGTGTTTTAGGGGAGAAGGATTCTTTGGAGAGACGCTTGTAGCATCACTAACATTTGCATGAGAAAAAGTCTCAAGGCCTCCGAACATCAGGTGGTTGTTTATGAAATGAATTAGGTGATTTATGCTCCCCTGCGGTATGGTTAAAACATCGCACGACCGCATCCGCCCCTTAAGTGAATTTAATGCCCTCTCGAACATCGTAGATTTTTGGCAAAAGGAGGGAGCTATACAGTAAAAATGGATTTATCTTGACTGGATAGTCGGGTATGCCGACCGTCCGATGCTTCTCCGATGTGGACTTCACGCTGGTGACTACTACTAGTCATTCGGTTCGGTCGAGCTGGGGTTGCTTGTTCAGGAATAGGTCTAATTGACACAAGCCCACAAATCATTCCAGATTTGGAAGACTTCTTTTATTGAATACACAATTTGGACACAACTGTTCTCTGATGCGATACCACTTTTCCCGTGAGAGCCATGCTAAGCGCCTTTCACAGCACTTCCTTTATTTTGGTTGACACAAGGTAGTCAGGTGTAGGAAAAGCATCCGTCAGGCAAGAACGAAGATCATGGGACCCCCCTTTAGATTCTTTCGTAAGCCAATTGCTTTTGTTGTAGCGCCGACAGTATGGAACACCAGGCAAAGTTCGGCTACAGTGGAGGGAAGTCCAACCACAAGAGGAGCGGAATCAACCGCCTGCTAACCAATGGCCCATATGGGCCAGCTGTCTGTATGAGTCATGGCCAATTCCCATAATGCTAACGCCCATGATGATTGGTTGATCCCAAACCAATTAAATCTTACCGCCTATGAGCGCAACTGTACATTGTCATCCAGTCATATGTGGTCATCTGCTAGCCTCCAGCATTCCCATTGGCTGCCTTAAATGGAGACGCTACCGACTGGTACCCCGCAGCTGAGCCCACTGTCGACGGCCCCCCATGCGTTCCAACAGCTACTCGTGGAAGCATTCACTTCAAAATTCCTATTATTTGTAAAGTAGCTCCCCAGGGCCGCGTATTGGTTTCACTCCTCTCCCTCCTTCCAATGTCTTTCAGTGTCAATTCTCATAAATTGTGGGGATATCGGGTCTTTGAATTGGGGCATACTTCACCATTTTATGCATCACCCCTTAAGACTCTAAACAGTTGAAATTCGGGAGGCTGCCAAGATTCGGAGCGGTTCTGACGTTCCTGTCGTTGTGAATCTCTGCCTTCCTTTTACCTCGAGGTGGACCCACCAGTAGATTCCTCATTATGAAGGCCATCTTGCCGGCACATGATACTACACAGAGAGCTCCAAAGGGATCGATAGAGGCAATGCATCTGGCTTCAAAAAGCAGTCCTCCTAAGTCAAATCTAATTAAAAAAGAAGCTCGGCAAGAGGATTTATTTGTGCAATCTTTGAAAAGACATCTAATTAGGTCATCCGGGAATTGGTTATTCGGGTAGACACTTTACTCAAAGAATTGCTAGGTTTAGTAAATCTCTGACGTAGGGATGGCAGTGGTAGAGCGTATCGTTACACTCAAAGAGTGCGGCGTTTCATCGTCTTTATTCGCGTCTCACTTGTTTGGAGCCATTTTCAGCATAAGAGAATTTCTTGTTTTTCAGCCTTTAATTTGAAAAATTTGCAGAGGTGCTTAACGAATTATTTATGAGTGACTAAGATAACCAAATTTCCTCCCTATTTACATTGGGCCATAGCCAACACTCGGAGAAATGTATTTTGTGTCCAAATCAAGCGACTGGGGCTCAACAGTTGGATATAGGTAGCCCTCTTGGAACTGAGCAGAAGACAGGCATGCAAAATCACCCTGTACAACTTGGTCAATTTTTTAGGTCCAAGTTAAACTTTATCTTGTTACGCACAGCATTCAGCAGAAGAACCTGCTTCCCAAAACCTGACTAACAAACCTCATTCTTAACCATTTTCCCAGGAGTTCATTAACTATTTGCTTCCAATGGTGGATATTTTGGTTTGTAAATTCGAACTCTGCAAAGGGAAAAAATCGATGTCAGATGGCAGAAATATCGATTTTTAAGGTAAGGCAGCATGCCGCGGGTTTGAGTGGCATAATCGCACCTCGACAACTCTAGTCAATTAAATTTAAACGGCTTACGAAGTTAATGCATTTCAAACTTGTCAGGAAAATCACAAAAAAGAATTTATTAATGATGGAGAAAAAGTACATCAAAATGCGCATAAAGCTGAAGAGGAAAAAAAAAACGGCGAGACGTGAAGAGAGGCGAGTGTAACTGCAAAATGTGGGATTTGGGAATCCCGGCTAATGGACACCGCCGTGGTTGTATGCGTATTTAAGCAGCAACATTAAACACGCATCATTGTCTCTCTAGTGGGCATCACGTAGTTGCGTAATGCAATTTCGTGCCCTGCCTTCTATGTGTGTGATTCTGCACGTAAATGTCTTACGTGTGAATTTTGCAAGGAGGACTTTTCAAACTTCTTTGTTAAGAAATAAGACTTATAACCGCGGTATGGCCGATCGTAGGCTCGTCAAATTTAAATTTGATGAATTTGGAAATTGGAAATTTGCCAGTCTTGCCGTCTGTTTTCATTCCCATCGCAGGGGAAAGTGGTAATGTCGCATCAAAAAATTGATAAAAAAACATGCTGCATGACCTCGTTCAGGGGAAAGTCCCGCACCTTATAAGGCTGGCTAAAAGGCATAGGGCATTTCATAAGTTCATTTCAATTGAGTGTCCTGCTATCACTGCTAGAGTCTAAAAGTGCACTGGATGATCCAATATGGGTTTTGAGAGGACTCTCAGGTTAGTTGATGGGTGAGGCACGTTTTTCCGAGCATTTCACATGCAGATGTTTTAATGACATTGCATTAACTCAACCAGGAAAAATCCCTCTCAGAATTAGAGCTCACGACAAACGCGTAATTTAGGTAAAAAAGTATGCTCTTATTTGTCACAATGGGAATATTGTGATGGCTCGGTGTTCCCCTCCTCCACCTTAGCCCCTATACCTCTGGAATAGGGAGGCGACTAGAAGGAGGGCATATTTAATGGGGCAGGGATAAATAAGGGAGTATAGGTGTCACAGCTAAGCGTGTTCAGGGTGGCTTTCTCGCAGGCCGATGGTTTCCAATCTGTCACGAGGTTCATGTGTAATGAGCACCTCTTGCCTAAAAGGTAAATTCAAGCAAACATGTATTACAATATATGGATGGATGAATGGATGGTTGGGTAGATAGATAGGTCGATCAGTCGATTGCTTAAAATCATTCCCCTAGATCACCAGAACACTGGGGAATTTAAATATTCGGAGCAGTATGGCATATATACGTCCACGTTCATTAGGGTACGGTAGATGGCTAAACTAATTGACACCTAGGCTCAGGTTTACCTCTCACGTGACTCGTGAATGGTATATAACGGAGAGCAGTGAAATCGAACGTAGGAAACAAACCTTAAACTCAAACCAGCGTGATCAGGCAAAGTAAGGTACACATATTTACGTGTCCTTGCGCTTATCAGTTGGCCACACCCTCCCTAGTTGACCACCTACTTGGATGACTGATGTCTTACAGAGCTGTCCCTATCCCTTCATAAATAATTCACATTGATAACGTCGTTAATCCAACAGTTCTTTTCACTTAAAGACGAACTGGGAGGTTATTGAACTACCAGCAGTCAATCTTTTGGAGGTGATAAATGAAAGACGTAAATTGCGTCATTTTCCTCATTTTCCACTTAACTACTTCTATTACAGCCTAGTGTCGACACTTGAGCTGTTTAGTGGTAACACTAAGATCGAATACTCCAGAACTCTATACATGTCTTAAAAGTAGGGAGGAGGGTAGGATAGAATCACGACTTTTTCCTTTAAGGCAAAAGTAATCATTAAAAAATAATTAAATTAAAGTATTTTATGGATGTAGAATCCTCCCCTCGGGCTCTAGAGCCATATTTGGAGACGAAAGTCCCTCGAAGGAGTTGGAAAATTAGATGCTAAATTCAATAACACCCGAAAGTTGTAAGCGTGTAGAAAATAGGTGTTAAACCAACTGTGTTGGTTGCTATATGCAATTTGGGTGAGCATAACTCAGAACAGCTTATCGATTTACCCGATTCCCAGTCCGTTTTTCAGTCGACAAGACTCCCATCAGTGGGCCAATAATCGATTTGGTGGTACTACGAGCACTGCTCAGTACAGCAATCGACACAGCTGATGAGGAAATTCAGTTAATAAACTATAACATCATGATTTATTCCAAATTCAAATTGTCTTGATTGTTTGCATTACGAATCCTTCAAAATGTAAAAGTGCAATATAGCGGAAAAAAATATTCCATTGCATCGAAATCTTTCTAAAGCATTTACCGCTCAAATGACGTAAATGTAAGCAATGGAAGCACGTAATTATCTCAAGAAAATTATTTGTAATTTTTTTGGGATTTAATGATGCTTGCAATGCCAGACATACAAGACTGAGGGAAGGAAAAAACGAGGCGCTGTCTGCAAATCCCATTTGATAGCTCCAAAATCATTTTACCTTCTGTTAAAACAGAGTTAACTTCTTCTCCGCCAGAAAGTGGTTTTCTTACTTCTGCTCTTTTAAATTTCAACAAAATTTATAGCGAGACTGACATTAGAAAGTGGTGGGCGTTCTGAGAACCAAGAAATTAATATTCAATCATTCTGATCAATGAATTTTACGCCATAGGTAGATTTCCGGCAATTTCCATTTATATGGTTCATTGCTGAAGCCTGTTTATGAAACAAAGGCTGCAGACACTGTCCAAAAATTCAAACTACATTCAATAATAGACCGCGTGTACTTTCGCGTTTTCGGCTGAAACTGCGCAGTTGACTTATTACCTGTCAGCAGTGGAGTGCATGCATTTCCGGTGTAGAAAACAAAAAACAACACCACAATTCACGTTAACGCAATGATTCATGGTAGCAAGAAAGGGTGGAAACAAATTGGATCAACCCCAAGTATCTATTCAGCGGGTGTTTCATCGGCCTCAAACAAGGTGAGGGCGAAAATGGATTGGCACTGCAGGGGATCATATTACTGGGCTGTGATCGCTACAATGGGCACGTAATTGCGAATTGACAAGAATAAAACAGGTGCACCCAGGGTTGAACACAACTGTTCGATGTGGAGTGCGCTTTGGCAGGCGAGGCGTATCGAATTGCACTCGTGACCGCCAGAAGGGTTCCACTCAAGCCTCACGGATAATCGATACCACGCCGGAGTTTCAATCGATTTTTGCTCACCCCAGCGGATTAGGATTCATCAAATATGCTTAAAATTTCCTGTTAAGGTTAAAAAGTGCCATAAGGGAGGAAATCTTTAAGCAATTACTAGTTTTTTAAGGTGGATTTCATTCAATCAATCATTTAATCATTCATTCCATTCACTCGACCCTTTATTAATTTATTCCACCAATTCGGGAAGCTGTTCAAGAAATTTGGAAATATGGTAGCTCCTGGAAAGCGGAGTTGTGTTTTTGGCTAAAATAAGTGAATACACATAGTGCCATCGATCTGGTAAGGAACAGGGCCTGACAATAGTCCACAATCTAATCTTTTACGCTGCCAGTCACAGCGGTAGGGAACGGGTAGGAGGGTTGGTGGAAAATCGCATCACTACGATAGTATGAGGGAGGCGGAGGGAAAAAGGCAGCACTAGTCTTTTAGCTGGATTTCACCTAGCAGGAAGGGGAATCGAATCCCGAAAACTTCCCTCATACGTAGTCTTTAAACGATCTTCAGTCAACAGCTGGTGGACTTCCGTAGATTTCACGAAAAAAGTCATTTCGCTGAACCCGCTTTGTTTGCAACTCGGTAAAGGTTAAATGCAGTCAAAGGTGGGCCGTTTAACACGCCACGCCTTGTCAAAGCAAATGTACTCATGCAGGCGACTAGTTGACTCTCCTTCCCAAACGTCGCATCAACGGCTTTCGCTGATGTATGCCAGATGCTGAGCTTTGTGGCGGCGTGTCGGCAGATTAAATTACAGATTGACTGACTGACTGACTGACTCTGATATCGGCCAGGAGTAGGACCCAAACAAGAGACTGGTAGTTGATGTGAAAGGAAGACAGCGGAAAACATGATTTAAACCCACTGAACATGCTCCTCAAAGATTTGAATAAGTATTTGTTTATTTATGGAAGGCAAATTGGTGGCGAGAGATTGTCGTACACCATTCAACCACTGGTAAGGGAATGGATGAGGTTGCGGTTCATCCACTAATTATCTAAAGAGACAAAACAAATGAATTAGCTTGGTAGGTTTTAATGGGTGGATCTTGACCAGGCGGTGCCACCTCACTCTACACCGTGGTGCCCCTTCACAACTCAGACATCCTCAGATTCACATTTTCCACAAGGCACAATGCTTGAAACGCATGTCACACGTTGGTTGACATCTGGATCGATACACAGGTCACGCGGAATGCACCGCTTGGCAGTGTGGAAAGTGGACAAGTGCGTCAAGATGCCGAGCAATTACAGATGACTGACTGGAATACCGCTTGATGCTGAGGCCATCAGAAGCATCTGGACGTGTAGTTGATTGGTAGCAGTACACAGATGCAGGAATAGACAGGTGAATGTGCAGGTTGTGATGGTTCCTATGTGACGTTGTGCGTGACACGATTTTGCCAAACAAACATCCGTGTCAACTTTAATCCGCAAACGACCTCGTGTTGAACTCGGCAACGCGCTCTTTTGGTCGGAAGGGGACTCAACTTCGTCTCATCGTGTGTTTGGGGAAGGCACAAGTGCTGTCGCAAATGTGACCACCTTCAGTCTCACAAGGGGTAGTTAAGGCGAATGAATTGTCTGCTTTTGGAAGGCACACACTGTGAGCGTCGGCCGTGAGCCATTCAGTCAGTCGGTGCGTCGGAAGCGATCAATGTCTTCAATCCTGTGTCGCAGAGTTGACACCTACCACTCGAATAAGTAGTGGGATAGCACAATTTCATTAGGAAAACGATTGGGGTAATTTGAAGTATCACTTAAATGGATAATGTATATTGCCTATGCAATGAGAGCCACACGACAGGACAGGCGGAACCGCTTTTGCAGTGTGGTTGTTGAAGTGAAAAAGAAGTATCAGGTGACTTCGAATTCGTTGGGTCTTGCTTCCGCCAACTGCTCCCAAAGTCGTTTGGGTAGAGAGTGAAGGTGGAAAGAGGCAGCGGAAGGAGCTGGATTTTGCTGTGAGAGGGTATTTGGTAGGGTGGTGATCCACTTTCTGCAGCATTTAATGCAGCTGAAGTGGCTTAGATTTAAAAATACTCCTCCACCTCCACCTTAGGTTTAGCACTGGTGAAAATGTGCTAGGCTTTGACGGAAAATGCTTCACTCAACACTGTGAGACCAGCATGGCATGGATGAAATCAGAAGTGAGGATGTCATGTCTAGTGCGTGTGTGAAGGGTGAGTGAGTGAGGTAGGGTCCCTGTAGCTACTCCAGGGACTAATGATACAGGCGATTGAGACTTCGATTTGAAGCACATTGAAACAGTGTCATGGGTCATTTGTAGGATAGATTTCCTCACATCCGGTTGATAAACATCTGAATGCCGCGACAACAACTTGGAAGCGCCTACTGACTGCCGCCTTCATGGACGCAGGTGTGGTGGCAGTGTGGTGTGGCCTGTCTTGTGCTGTCAAGACGACTTTCACAACGCAGAAGCCGGCTTGGACGGAAAGGTGGTGAGGTGGAAAGCGGTGTCCGCATTTACGGAAGGGGAGCTAAGACACCATTGTGAAGTGTGCTGACAAAGGCTGTTTACTTCCTCGTGAATGGCTTTTGTGTTCCCCCACTTACAGCAATGAACAGACGATGGACACGGCTATGTTACTGAGACCATGGAGCATCAACAGGAAACGAGTCAACGTCAACGAAGGAGTAGATCAGGTGGCAGCAAGATTGTCACTGTGACCAACAGTCACTTGAAGTCACTTTGAATGTCACGTCAAGTGATTCGACCTTGATCTAACTTTTGGCAAATCCTTTCGTGAAGTGACAGGCACTGAAGTGATCTGTCACGGTGACAATAGTGGTGGTGATGGTGATGGTGGTGTGTGGAGAGGTGTTTATGCGCATCCGTGGCTTGGAAACAGAAGCATCCCCAATGCGGGAGTAAACAACGT